GATTATAGGTGTGAGCCACCACACCCGGCCTAATTTTGGTATTTTTTTGTAGAGACGGGGTTTCACCACATTGACCAGGCTGGTCTTGAACTCCTGGGCTCAAGCAATTTGCACACCTTGGCCTCACAAAATACTGGGATTACAGGTGTGAGCCACCGTTCCCAGCCCCTTCACTGATTTCAAATTGAAATAAAAATTGGGCAGTGACAGTAAAAGTATAGATATTAGCTCAGATAGATTTTGCACCCATTCAGGTGCCAGCTGTCCATTTCAGAATCCACAGAACTTTTTTTTCTTTTGAGACAGGGTTTCACTCTGTCACCCAGGCCGGAGTGCAGTGGTACGATCTCAGCTCACTGCAACTTCCACCTCCCAGGCTCAAGCAATCCTCCCAACGCAGCCTCCTGAGTAGCTGAGACTATAGGTGTGTACTACTACTCATGGCTAAGTTTTCTATTTTTTTGTAGAGATGGGGTTTCACCATGTTGCTCAGGCTAGTCTTGAACTCCTGAGCTCAAGCGATCCACCTAGTTGGCTTCTCAAAGCACTGAGATTGCAAGTGTGAGCCACTGTGCCTGGCTTCCACAGGACTTTTTTTTTGAGATAGAGTTTTGCTTTTGTTGCCCATGCTGGAGTGCAATGGCATTATCTCGGCTCACTGCAACCTCCACCTCCCAGGTTCAAGCAATTCTGCCTCAGCCTCCTGAATAGCTGGGATTACAGGTGCCTGCCACCATGTCTGGCTAATTTTTGTATTTTTAGTAGAGACGGGGTTTTGCCATGTTGGCCAGGCTGGTCTCGGACTCCTGACCTCTGGTGATCCACCTGCGTTGTCCTCCCAAAGTGCTGGGTTTACTGGCATGAGTCACCACGCCCGGTTCTCCACACAACCTTTAAAGGTTATTTGTGGATGTGAATAGTTACGGTTGTGGGACTGGTACTGCCGCCTTCTGCCAGACTGGGATTCTCGTGAGAGGCAACATGTGCCTCCTGCCTTGTTTGTGCTGTGGGTATCTAGGACCCGCTACACAGAAGGCCTGGCGTTTTCAGTTTTCTGCTGCTTTCTGTGGGAAGGTTTTTTTTTTTTTTTTTTTGAGACGGTGTCTTGCTCTGTTGCCCAGGCTGGAGTACAGTGGCACGTTCTTGGCTCACTGCAACCTCCACCTCCTAGGTTCAAATGATCCTCCTGCCTCATCCTCCCAAGTAGCTGAAATTACAGGTGTGTACCACCACGCCCAGCTCATTTTTGTATTTTTTAGAAGAGATGAGGTTTCACTATATTGGCCAGGCTGGTCTCGAACTCCTGACCTCAGGTGATCCATCCACCCGGGCCTCCCAAAATGCTGAGAGTACAGGTGTGAGCCACCACACTGGCCCGAGTTGGTCTGAATTTGGAATAAACAAACCTATACATTGCATTTGGTTGGTGAGTCTCAAGTTTTATATTTTTGTTTTTTTACTATTAAAAGGTTTGGCCAGTCATGGTGGCTCACACCTGTAATCTCAGCACTTTGGGAGGCCGAGGTGGGTGGATCATGAGGTCAAGAGATCGAGACCATCCTGGCCAACATGGTAAAACCCCGTCTCTACTACAGGCATACACCACCACGCCCAGCTACAAAAAAATTAGCTGGGTGTGGTGGTGCATGCCTGTAGTCCCAGCTACTCGGGAGGCTGAGGCAGGAGAATCGCTTGAACCTGGGAGGTGGAGGTTGCAGTGAGCCGAGATCATGCCACAGCACTCCAGCCTGGTGACAGAGCAAGACTCTGTCTCAAAAAAAAAAAAAAAAAAAAAAGCCTTTTCTGCCCCACCTTTTATTCCATTTCATAGACTTGTTAAAACTGGGTCATTTGTCCTTTTGACTTTTCTGGAGTGTGGGATTGGCTGATTATGGTTTTATTTAATGCATTCCTTTATTCTGCCGTATTTCCTACAATCAGGTAGTGATATCCAAAGGTAATGTCTTTTAAAAAGCTGTTGGGGCCAACATGATGAAACCCTGTCTCCACTAAAAATACAAAAAAGTTAACAGGGCGTGGTGGCTTGCATTTGTAATCCCAGCTACTCGGGAGGCTGAGGCAGGAGAATCACTTGAACCCAGGAAGAGGAGGCTGCAGTAGGCTGAGATCGCGCCATTGTACTCTAGCCTGGGCGACAGAGAGAGAGGGACTGTGTCTCAAACCAAAAAAAAAAAAAAAAGTTGTTTGGCAGAAGAAGAATCTTTCCTTAAAAGCATCTCTATTATTTGGAAATGAACTTGTAACTCACATAGTAGATATTGATTTGAAATGTGGAATGAATTTTACCTTTAGAAAGCCTATGGCTTTCTAAAAGCCTTTCTTTTAAGTGACTGGTTGTACATTTTCAGGGGAAGAAGGTCAGATGAAAAGATAGTTTGTGGCTACAAGTCATCTCCCGTGGATCAAACTACTGGGGAGAGCCATATTGTTCCATCATAAAAATGCTGAGAGAGCTATTGGCAACAGGCAGACTTTAGTTTTCAGTGATGGCTCTGCTGTTCTAGTGTTGACTTTGGCATCTCAGGTGATCCATGACTTTTTAAAGCCAATATAATTTCTTACTCCTTCTGGAGTGCTACTTGGCTTTCACTCAGTGGTTTTTTTTTTTTTTTTTTTTTGGCCTTGGATACCTTTGAGAATCTAATGAAAGTCACGGGCCCTCCCCAGGGAGTTTCAGACTCCATGCAATGCATTGATGATCTGTGGCCTTTATCTAACACCAGGAGCAGTGAGCACATAAAAGAGGTACCACTCTTGGCTGCTAAAAGCAGGACCCGAGGGCTGCACAGGGAGTGGCCTCCGTGGCCGACTGGTGGAGCAGTTAACACACAGAAATGTAAATGTGCCTTACTTTAACTGCTTTAACTGCTATATTTGTTTCATGGTCTGACTGCTAAACTTTCAGTTACATATGGAGCAGATCAACCCTTTCTCCAGTATATTTCTATAATTAGTGCCATATCAATTATCATATTAATAGCAAATCTTGTTTTTTTTCCGGGATGGAGCCTCCCTTTGTTGCTCAGGCTGCAGTACAGTGGTGCAATCATACCGCACTGCAGCCTTGAACTCCTGGACTCAAGCGATCCTCTGGTCTCAGCCTCCTGAGTAACTGGGGCTATAGGTGCAAGCCACTGTGCTCAGCACAATACCAAATCTTAAAATCTGATGAAAAGGCAGCACTTCTGGAGTTTCTGCGACACTCACCCTGCCCTCCAGATGACTGTTACTGATGTCCAAGCTGTCCAGTGACCCTGACTTAGACTATACTGGAATAAATTTTAAAATGTGGTTGTAGGTGGGAGTGAGTGGAATAGACTCTAGGGAATTTTGACATTAGGTATTATTTCACCATCTCAATGCTCTAGTGAGTATTACTGGAAACATAAAACCCATGTTATGACTACTTTAATTGTAATAAAAAAGAAACCGGTTGGTAATTTATAACTCATTTTCCCTAGAGTACATTCTTTAGTAGTAGTCAGGTAATTATCCTGTCATAGGTTTCATTAAGAGGCAAAACTGGCCGGGCGTGGTGGCTCAAGCCTGTAATTCTAGCACTTTGGGAGGCTGAGGCAGGCAGATCACGAGATCAGGAGGTTGAGGCCAGCCTGGCCAACATAGTGAAAACCCGTCTCTACTAAAAATACAAAAAGTTACCCGGGTGTGATGGCTGGCACCTGTAATCCCAGCTACTTGGGAGGCTGAGGCAGGAGAATCGCTTGAACCTGGGAGGCAGAGGTTGCAATGAACTGAGATCGTGCAGCTGCACTCCAGCCCAGGTGTCAGTGCGAGATTCCGTCTCAAAAAAAAAAAAAAAAAAAAAGGCAAAACTATTTCTGGATATTCTATAGACTTTTGAAATGGAGGGGAAATGTGTTTGTTGTAAGTGTTTAGTAGAATCATTGGCCATTCTTGTTGGTTGATATTTGGAGGCTGTGTCCATTCCCTGATCCCTGAAACCTGTGAATATGTTACTTTAAGTGGCAAAAGGGACTTTGCAGATGGGATCAATGTGACCCACTTTGAGGTGGGGGCATTATTCCAAATTATTCATGTGGGCCCCATGTAATCACATGAGTTCTTAAAGATGGAGAGCCTTTCCTGACATGGTCAGAGAGAAGAGGTGACATTAGAAGAGTCAGAGAGATGCAGTGTTGCTGGCTTTGAAGAGGAGGAAGGAGGCTATGAGTCAAGAATGGTGCTGGCTCTAAAAGAAAAGCAAGAAAGAGACTTCTGTCCTAGAGTCTTCAGGGAGGAATGCAGCCCTGCTGACCCCTGGGTCTCAGCCCAGTGAGACCCATTGCAGACTTCTGACTTCAGAACTGTGCAGTAACAAATTTGTGATTGATTGATTGATTGGTTTTTGAGACAAGGTCTTGCTCTGTTGCCCAGGCTGGAGTGCAATGGTGCAATCATAGTTCACTACAACCTCTAACTTCTGGGCTCAAGCAATCCTCCTGCCTCAGCCTCCTGAGTATCTGGGACTACATGCATCACCATGCCCGGCCGATTTTTTTTTTTTCTTTTTTTTGACATGGAGCTTTGCTCTGTTGCCGAGGCTTGAGTGCAGTGGCGTGATTTTGGCTCACTGCAACCTCTGCCTCCCAAGTTCAAGTGATTCGGCATGCCTCAGCCTCCCAAGTAGCTGGGACTACAGGCACCCCCCTACCTCGCCCGGCTAGTTTTTTTTTTTTTGTAGTTTTTAGTAGAGTCGGAGTTTCACCATGTTGGCCAGGCTGGTCTCAATCTCCTGGCCTCAAGTGATCCTCCCACCTTGCCCCGCTCCGATGTGCTGAGATTACAAGTGTAAGCCAGAGCACCTAGCTTTAATTTGTGTTGTTTTAAATTACTGTTTGTGGTAATTTGTTACAGCAGCAATTGAAAACGAGTCAGGGGCTAAATCATCAAGATAAATGAGAGATGTGCAAAAGAGAACCAAACAGTTTGACTCTGGTAATAATTGTCTTCTCTTTTAGGTCATGGTTGAGCTGGGGAAGTTTGAAAGGAAGGAGTTTAAAAGTTCTAGTTTGCAAGATGGACATACAAAAATGGAGGAAGCACCTACACACCTTAATTCATTTCTTAAGAAAGAAGAATTAACTTTCCACAGGAAAAGAAAATGGGAATTGGACAGCTACCCCATTATGCTCTGGTGGTCCCCGCTGACAGGGGAAACTGGGAGGTTAGGCCAATGTGGAGCAGATGCTTGTTTCTTCACCATCAACCGGACCTACCTGCGTCATCACATGACCAAAGCATTCCTCTTCTATGGTAAGCAGGGCTTTCGCCTTTCTCCCTTTGTTTGCTGTGGTCTTACTCCAAAGCTGAGTTACAGCTTACCACTGAAAAGTGATGGTGGAGCTCCCCTTGAAAACACTTTAACACCCCTGATTTCCTTTGCATTTGCTCTGTGGAAGGCCGGAGCATTTAGCAGATACAAAAAAGAAACAAGCCTGGCTGGGCGTGGTGGCTTCTGAATTCTCTAACACGTTTATCTCTGAAGGGTTGGATAAGGGATTATGATCTTCTAGTTGTGCATTAAGATGAAGCAAAGTTAAATGTTGAGTTTAATTTCCCAAATTTTAACAGAAGCTTCTAGAAAGATTTCCATTGCATACACACAAAAAAATAGATAATATAATGAGCATTTATGTACCTATCACATAGCTTAAGGCATAAAATATTACATGTATAATTGAAAATCAATATGACCCCTCCCTGACCAATCCCATTTCCCTCCCTGATACTTCAGAGGGAATCATGATATATATGTGTATGTGTTTGTGTAACAATATATGTTATTTAGACATGTAGGAATTATATATACATGTTTAAAACTGTTAAAAAAGGTTTTTAAATGTTTAAAACTTTTAAAAAAGGTTTTTAAATGTTGAAGTGTTTTAAATGTTGACTGTTGTACAACCACTTTAGATACTGGTTTGGCAATGTCTAGTAAATGTGAATTCATACTTAATAATTCCACTACTAAATTTATAACCATGTGAAATCTCACATATATACATGGATTGTTCATTATAGCATTGTTCATCATAAGTAAAGCTTTTAAAGTAATTGAAATGTCCAATAACAGAAAAATGATTACATGAAGTATATAAATTCAGTGCAATACTATGCAATGATGAAAATGAACTAGAGCTGTGAGCATGAAAATTTGATAAACCTCAAAACTAAGTTACAGATAGGAAGTTACATATAACACTACTCTGCATTGTTTATGTTATTGTTAGAAATCTGTAGTATAATTTTTTTTTTTTTTTGAGGTGGAGTCTCACTCTGTCGCCCAGGCTGGAGTGCAGTGGCGCGGTCTTGACTCACTGCAACCTCCACCTCCCGGGTTTAAGCGATTCTCCTGCCTCAGCCTCCTAAGTAGCTGGGACTACAGGTGCCCACCACCACACCTGGCTAATTTCTATGTTTTTAGTAGAGACAGAGTTTCACCATATTGGCTAGGCTGGTCTCAAACTCCTGACCTTGTGATCCACTTGCCTCTGCCTCCCAAAGTGCTGGGATTATAGGCGTGAGCCACTGCACCCGGCTGTCTGTAGTAGAAATTCATTTAAGAATATGTGATGCTGCTCCAGGGAAAACAACAAGTTGTACACACATACACATACATAAACACATGCATACACATATACATATATATACATACACACACATATATACACACACATATACATATATACATGCATATATACGCACATATATGCTGATATGGTTTGGCTGTGTCCCTACCGAAAATCTCATCTTGAATTGTAATCCCCATAATCCCCATGTGTCAAGGGCGGGGCCAGGTGGGGGTAACTGGATCATGGGGCAGTTCCACCATGCTGTTTTCATGACAGTGAGTGAGTCTATGAGATCTGATGGTTTTATAAGCATCTGGCATTTCCCCTGCTGGCATGCACTCCATCCTGCCACCCTGTGAAGAAAGTACCTGTTTCTCCTTTGCCTTCTGCCATGATTGTAAATTTCCTGAGGTCTCCCAAGCAATGCAGAACTGTGAGTAAATTAAACCTTTTTCCTTTATAAATTATCCAGTCTCGGATATTTCTTTATAGCAGTATGAGAATGGACTAATACAGTATACATACATATATGTTCATACACACATATATACACATATACAGACATATATACACATATACTTATACATATGTGCACAAGCATACACATGTACACACATACATATATACACACATACACATTTATGCATACATACACGTGGGCATATACATATGTACACACATATACATCTACATAATGCATATATGCATATATACACATATACACATGCACATATATACATATATACACACACGTATACATGTATATAAATACATACACTTAGATACATACACACACTGTAATTTATGTATATATATATACAGATTGAGCATCCTAAATCTGAAAAATTTGAAATCCGAAATGCCCCCAAATCCAAAACTTTTTGAGCACCAACATGATGTTCAAAGAAAGTGCTTATTGGAATATTTTGGATTTCAGAATTTCATATTTGGGATTCTCAATGGTATAATTCAGGTGTTCGAAATTTTAAAAAATCCAAAATCTGAAAAACTCCTGGTCCCAAGCATTTCTGTTAAGGGATACTCAATCTGTATGTATGTACATATATGTGTATACACACACACTTTTTGTGTATAATGTACTTCTTTGCTTCTCTCTCCCTTTTCTGGAAGCATATAGAATCTTCTCTGTTTCACCAGTTTGGAAATTTAGTAATAACTGCTTTGGTGTGAGTCTGTATCCTTTTACTGAAGTGGGAACATAAATACCTGGTTGCCAGGAAGCCTGCAAAATAGTATTTAACTTGGTGACTTTTCCGGGACTCACAGATCTACAGAGTCATGCACTTAATTTTGTCAGCACACTTAAGAGTTGGTTTTTCTGTCTAGGATGGACTTACCTCCAACCAAGTTCCTAGGAGACTTCTGGTTTGACCTTCCATACCTCAGATCCTGTGTTACTCTCCAGTGCCTAAAACTATCAGTGACTCTCATGGAGAACCGAATCTATGCTGTTTATTACCTTGGCACTCAAGGCTCTGTGTAATCTGACTCCAACCTGCCTTCCAAGCTTAATCCCTCTGATTCTACCAGCTAAACCTTATGTTCAAAAGTCAAACTGGAATATTCCCCATTTTAGGCATAAGCCACAAATATTCCTAACTTTGCACGATCGTTCATTAAGTTCTGTGTCCTAGGTTGTATTTGTATTTGTCCTGTCAGAATAATCTACTGAATACCTTCCATTTCTTTGGCAATATAGATGAATAATATAGTTTCTGATGTCAAAGATTTTTATCTTGAGGAAAAGATATGACCCAACTGTAATGCAGGGACAAATGGTATGAGTACCATGAGAGAAAAGCCAACAAGTCTTTGTGGGGTTTCAAAGACAGGAGAGAGCACCTACTATTGGAGGGATCAAGAAAGGCTTCATAGGCCGGGCATTGTGGCTCACGCCTGTAATCCCAGCACTTTGGGAGGCCGAGGCAGGTGGATCACCTGAAGTCAGGAGTTTAAGACCAGCCTCTCCAACATGGTGAAACCCCGTCTCTACTAAAAATACAAAAATTAGCTGGGCATGGTGGTGCGTGCCTGTAATCCCAGCTACTAGGGAGGCTGAGGTAGGAGAATCACTTGGACCTGGGAGGCAGAGGTTGCAGTGAGCCAAGATTGTGCCACTGCACTCCAGCCTGTGTGGCAGAGTGAGACCTTGTCTCAAAAAGAAAAAAAAAAAAAAGGCTTCATAAGCCTTTGTTTATAGAGTAAGAAATTTGAAGCAGGCCTTGAAGGATATTGGGATTGGATAACGTTGAGATTGGAGGATATTTCAATATGAAGAACAGCATGAATGGAGGCATGGAGGAAAACAATTGTGAATAATATCTGAGGTACAGCAAGCAGAGTGGTTGGCTATAGCTTAGTTCTGGGTGAGGGAACGATAAAGATTGAAGGACATATTGGGACCAGAAGTTGGAGAACCTTCAAGGTTGGCTTAAGATTTTTCCATCACATCATAGGTTGGTGTTGAGGAGTCAGTCACTGGAGTTAAAACCACCTTTTAAAAGTCAACTCAGGCCATTTGCAGTGGCTCACGCCTGTAATCCCAGCACTTTGGGAGGCTGGGGCGGGTGGATCACCTGAGGTCAGGAGTTCGAGACCAGCCTGGTTAACATGGTGAAACCCCACTTCTACTAAAAATACAAAAATTAGCCAGATGTGGTGGTGCGTGCCTGTAATCCCAGCTACTCGGTAGACTGAGGCACAGGAATCGCTTAAATCTGGGAGGAGAAAGTTTCAGTGAGCCGAGATCGCGTCACTGCACTCCAGCCTGGGTGTCAACTCGGATATAACACCTACAAACCATTCCTGATTCCTCTCCATCAGATGAATCCTTTCTTCTCTCAATGCCCACAGAGCATTTTATATCTACTTTATGTCATTTAATTGAGTATCTACTATGTATCAGGCACAGTGCCAATCATGAGGAATACAGAAGATAAGTAAGGTAGCTATGGTGTTTGGTCTTGTACTATATGACTGTATCTTCCCTAGTGCAGTGTAGAGTTCACAATAGAGCAACATCAATTCATCTTTGTTCCTCCTCCCACCCACTGTATACAGCGTACTGCTTCGTACACGGTAGGTACTCAGAAAATATTCTTAGAGACTTAAGAGTATTTTTTTTTAAGATGGAGTCTCACTCTGTCACCCAGGCTGGAGTACAGTGGCATGATCTCAGCTCACTGAAACCTCCGCCTCCCAGATTCAGGCGATTCTCCTGCCTAAGCCTTCTGAGTAGCTGGGATTATAGGAGTGTGACACCATGCCTGGCTAATTTTTGTGTTTTTAGAAGAGACAGGGTTTCACCATGTTGGCCAGGCTGGTCGTGAACGCCTGACCTCAAGTGATCCACCTGCCTCAGCCTCCCAAAGTGCTGGGATTACATGTGTGAGCCACCATGCCCTGCCAAGAGTTAGAGTCTTTATGAATAGAGAGATCCATTCTAAACCCAAGAGTCTACCTTCTTTTTTGTAAAGGTGAGAGAGTGAGGCTCAGGAGTGTTAGGGATGTGCCAAGATTGCAGTGGTTAGTACCATTGCAGTACCCCAGTGGAGAACCAGGGCGTACTGACTCCTGACTGAGTGCTCCTTCACCTAGACCATATTTGTTTTTTGTTTGTTTTGGAGACAGGATCTCACTCTGTTGCCCAGGCTGGAGTGCAGTGGCATGATCATAGCTCACTCCATCCTCCAACTCCTGGGCTCAAATGTTGGCTTAAGACTTTCCATTACATCATGGTGTTGAGGATGGTGTTGAGGAGTCACTGGAGTTAGAATAACCTTTTGAAGGACAAAAGGCTATTCCCTTTTGTCCTGCCTCAGCTTCCCAAGTAGCTGGGACTACAGATGCTTGCTGTCATACCTGGCTAATTTTAAATTTTCTTTTTTTTTTTTTTTTTGCTGAGATGGGGGTCTTATAATGTTGTCCAGGCTGGTCTTGACCTCCTGGGCTCAAGCAGTCTGTCTGCCTCGCCCTCCCAAAGTATTGGGATTACAAGCGTGAGCCACTATGCCTGGCCTAGACCATATTTGAATGGACACTCATGACCATAATTAAACCTGAATATTTGGGTCTTGGAATTGCCTAAGGTG